TTTTTCAAAAACAAATGGTGTGGTTAAGAATGTATCAGTATTAGATTCTGCTTTGGATCCATTGGCATATCCTTTACTATTCCCAAGTGGAGATTTTGGTTGGCACGTTAATATATCGCATAACGTGCAACATAATTCTAATGGTAGGCAGATTCGAAATAAAGTTACAATGTTACAATTTGCATGTTTCAGATTTGCAATAAGGGATCAATTTAGCTTTTTGCATAAATCGCAAAAACTATTTTTGCAATACATTGTTGATATGTATGTGAGAATAGAAGGATGTCGACTACATTTTATACGACAGAATCAAGTAAATTTGAGGGCAGATGTGTATAACAATATTAGTGATTATTTGCAAACGAATCAAGTAGGAGATGGTAGCTTAGGTCGTAAAGTGATTTTGCCTTCATCCTTCACTGGGTCTCCGAGAAACATGTATCAAAATTACTTAGATGCAATGTCAATTGTTCAGTACTTCGGCAAGCCATCGCTTTTTGTTACAATGACTTGCAATCCGAATTGGGCGGAAATTGTATATAATATTGATCCTAATGAATCATCTCATTTCAGGCCTGAAATAGTTGTGCGTGTATTTAAATCGAAGTTAAAAGAACTCATTTCTGACATTTGGAATAAATATATTTTTGGCAAAGTTGAGGCTCTTATATATACAATCGAATTTCAAAAGGGAGGTTTGCCTCATGCTCACATTTTGATAACTTTATGTGAAAATGACAAAATTGTCGGGCCGGCTGATATTGATAAAATAGTTTGTGCAGAGATACCGGATAAAAATTTGCAGCCAAAATTACATGAATTTGTTGTCAAACACATGATGCACGGTCCATGCGGTGTTTTGAATCCAAGCTCTGTATGTATGCAAGATGGAAAATGTTCAAAACAATTTCCAAAGGATTTTGTACAATTAACGAAAGAATCAGTTAATGGTTATCCGTTGTATAGACGGCGCGATAATAATGTTTCCGTTGATGTTAGAGGAAAGTCTTTAGATAATCGTTATGTCGTTCCATACAACCCGTATTTGTTTGCAAAATATAATTGTCACATTAATGTCGAGGTGTGCACTTCCGTCAAAAGTATTAAGTACTTATATAAATATGTATATAAGGGTTTTGATAGTGCAACTGTTTTAATTCAAAGTGAAAGCACAAACGAAAATGACTAACAAGTATAAGTTGAAGTAGATGACGTTAGAAATTTTTTGAATGGTCGATATGTGGGATCAACTGAGGCTATGTGGCGAATATATGAATTTCCTATGCATTTTCAGTCTCATATTATAATTCGTCTTGACATTCATTTGCCACAAAGACAAAATATTATATTTCGCGAAGGTCCAGAAAGACAAGCAGTAGAAAATCCTAAGCTTACGAAGCTATTAGCTTTCTTTCAATTGAATCAAAGTGATTCATCTGCTAATCAATATACGTATATAGAAATTTCATTGCATTATGTTTGGATTGATAGTAGAAAATCTTGGCAAAAAAGACAACGAGGAGGAGATAAAATTATTACTCGGATGTATATGGTGTCTCCCAAAGAAATCGAGCTATTCCATTTAAGATTACTTTTGTTGCATGTAAAAGGGCCAAAATCATATGAAGATGTGCGTACATTAAATGGAATTGTTTATAGCACATTTATCGAAGCATGTCATGCTAGGGGAATTGCGTCCAATGATAATGAGTGGAGAGTTTGTCTGAATGAAGCTAAGACATTTAATTCAGCAAAACAAATGCGTAATTTGTTTGCGATTATTTGTGCCTTAAATATTCCAGCAAATGCAGTAGCACTTTGGGTGGAATTTACAGATAATTTAAGCGAAGATTTCGTTAGAGATGGTTGTAGTGTAGATGTTTCTTTTAATAGAGTATTATTGGAAATCGAGGAAATTTTGTTAACACATAATGTTACATGTACGTCACTTGGTTTGCCTACACCTACAATAATACCAGAATTTACTGATCTCGATATTTTTGATCCTTTTGTAGAAGAATGTTTATTTAATGAGCTTTATGATTGCGCAAATAATGAACAGCGTGATACTATTGATAAAGTTATTTGTGAAGTTCAGTATCACGATACAGGATCAAATGTGTTTTGTTTGACAGCCCATGCAGGTTGTGGGAAAACATTCACACAAACGGCTATAATTCGTAAATTAAATTCCCTTAATCTTCGCTGTATTTCGTGTGCATTTAGTGGAATTGCTTCCACTTTATTGATTGGTGGAAAGACACTCCATAATGTTTTTAAACTGCCTATAAATCTGATGAAAAATACAGTTCCGAATATAAAAAAAAATAGTAGTTATGCCATATTTATTAATTCGGCGGCATTATTAATAATTGATGAAATTTCGATGTGTCCGTTACAAAGTGATAAAATGTATTGATACGTTGTTGAAAGACTTATGCGACGATTCACAAAAAAAACAAATGATTTTTGCTGGAAAAACTGTATTATTATGTGGAGATTTTAGACAAATATTGCCCGTTGTTCCTCATGCATCACGAGCAGTAATGATTGAAAATTGTATTACGAGTTGGGCAGAATTTCCGTTTTTCAATCATATAACGTTAACTCAAAATATGAGAGCACTCCCCGAAGAGTTGGAATTCGTTCAATTTCTAAAGAGAATTGGCAATGGTGAAGATTTAGTAGAAATTCCAGCAAATTTGATAGGTGTTGAATCTAACATAGTACATGATATTTTTGGAGATATTAATGAAACCATTTTATCAGATAGAATGTTGAAGTCAGTTGTGTTAGTTCCAACTAATGAAGATTGTGGACTTATCAATAACGATGTATTGAATCGCATCGCTGGTGAAAAAAGGGTTTATTACAGTTTTGACAGAATTATTTCCGAGGATAACAGTGAGGTGTGCAACTATCCAGTAGAATTTTTGAATACTTTGATTGTAAGTGGTTTGCCACCACATAAGTTGGAGCTCAAGATTAATGCGATAGTTTTGTTAATTCGAAATTTAAATACGTAGCAAGCATTAGTGAATGGGACGAGAATGCGAGTCAAAGCAATGCATAATAACACAATAGATTGTGAAGTACTCACTGGAGTTGCTCGCGGAAAACGTGTTTTGATTCCACGCATACACTTGACGTATTCAGGGACTGCACTGCCATTTAATTTTCAAAGAACACAGTTTCCAGTCATCAGCGCATTTGCTATGACAATTAACAAATCCCAAGGACAGACATTTGATAGAGTTGGAATATTGTTGAGGAGACCTGTTTTTTCGCATGGTCAACTTTACGTTGCAGCGAGTAGAGTTAGATCATTTGACGGGCTTAAATTTTATGTCAGTAATGAAGGTGGACAAGGTCATTTGGCTAATGATGAAAGGGTGTTTACAAAAAATATTGTTTACACTGAAGTTTTGAGAACTTCGTGATATAAAATATAGAATTATTATTATACATTATTATCATTTTAGATTTCATTCAGTTGGAATGTTTTTCAATATTTAATTTTTTTCATTCGTTCATTTGCCAATTTCATTTCTTTGTTTCTTGCCTTCACTGCATACCGCGATTTGATTTCGTGATGGCAGAGTATAGGAATTTGTTTGATAATTAACACGGGAGCGAGATGTTGTGCAAAGTCGCATTGTCGAAATTATGGCTTCAATAAAGAATAAACGCGATCAATTGAAAATCGAAGGACTTTTTTTTGATTTTTTTTTTTAATTATTTTATTATTTAAGGGTTCGTGTTCTAGTTTGAACGGGATATGGTTATGCGTAATACAGTATGTAAATACCTTGAGCCTATGCCATATCAAGACCATGATGCGTGATATATTATCACATCCTTCTCGAGGTGAACCTGTTTTTCATGTTGGCTATCATGTCGGCATAACAGAACATCATGGATCTAGAGAGGAAAACTCGATAAAACCCGTAATCTCCGGTGTTATTCGACCCGTGCCGATGAGATGAATAGCACTACGTCAGTGTGTTTTTAAACGGAGACCTCCGGATAACTGGCGCCCTCCGGTTGTAATTTAGCCTTATCCGGGTATTGCGGATCTCTGCCCGGATGGACCCTCCCTTCTCCGCAACTCGTGGGTTTAAATATGAATGAACCAATAACTAATAAAAATAAAAATTCTATAGCGGAGAGCTCGGCTAAACAGAGCTCAAAATCTTCGGACACTAAGTGTCCAAACAAGGTACCTACCGCGACTTCCAGTGGTAATAAAAAGGTGCCTCCAAATCATAAACAAAATGTATCGACGCGCTCCGGACCACTAATTCGGTCAGGCCCTCCTGGGAGGAGGAGTTACAAGGAACGCCGAGCGGCGACTAGACTGCTCGAAAGATACGGCAATATTTCGGTTACATCCGAATCTATGAAGGCCAGGATTGCCTGGGCTAAGCAGGTCCTCGATACCTCGAAGGACAAGCAGGAACCTGCTACGAAGCGACAGCGCTCATTAGATGAGTCAGCTTCAAAACCTGATGCCAAAAAGGCAAAATTTCGTGGCAACGCCACAAATGCAAAATCCTTTAGCGACATGCTGAAGGGTTCTTTAATAATGGGAGTCATTGATGAAAATGACCCGGATGGCACAATTACACCTGCTAAGTGGGACTTAATTGAGCTCAAGCTCCTTGACATTTATGTCGATCTCCTGAAGGACTTTCCTGGAGACGGTCCCACTTGTCGCGATAGTGGATGGCATCAGGGCCATGTGAAACTTATCGCCTGCGCAGATCAGCGTTCTGTTGATCTTTTTCGCAAAGCCATTTCCAGAATTGGTGAGGCATGGCCAGGCGCCAAACTTAAGGTTGTTACTAAGGAGCAAATCCCTAGTCGACCAAGAGCGCGTTCCTGGATACCAGCCCATCAGTCCGATCCTCAGCGGATTCTGGAACTTATTCGGCTAGGAAACCGGCAGTTAAACACATCAACGTGGAAGATTACCAAGCTGGAGGAAGTCAAAGGTAAATATAGGTCGGTCAGTTTTGTGATTGACAAAGCATCCTTGGCCACTTTGGCGAAATCAAACGGTGTTATTAACTACGGTTTCTCAGCCATCACAATGAGGGTATATAAAAAGGACGAGGAGCAATCCTTACCTAACGACACAGGTCCAGCAGCACCGCAAGGCACTGTTGATACCATAATGGAAGCGGGTGATATTGAAACTGCTACCGCAAACTCAGTGGGCCCAGTAGAAATACTGCCTACCACTTCTGATTCAATAAATATGGACGTGACTATGTCCTCTCCAGCTCCTTCAATTACATCTGAAGAGAGTATTGGTACGCGCTATCTTTTTGACGAAGAAGAACTTTTGAACTCTGAAAATGAATCTGAAGAAGATAGCGCGCTTGACGTTACAGTGGTGGACACTACCACATCCAAAACAAATCATGATGCGGGTACTACAAATTAACCTGCACCACTGCAAGGCTGCGTCCGCCAGCTTGTTGCAATGCCTCAGCAACAACGAGGCTGATATGGTCCTGGTGCAAGAGCCATGGGTTTTCAAGGATCTTGTCTGCGGACTCAGGACTAAAAACTTTGACTTAATGTATGCGGTAAACAAGGGTAAGCCTAGATCCTGCATATTAATAAATAAAATATATAACGCTCTCATGCTTTCGCAGTATAGTGACAAAGACCTAACCGCAGTAAGTATTGAGGGACCTTGGGGCCAGATATGGGCGGTATCTGCATATATGGCTCATGATCACGAAGAGTTACCATCAAGTAGCCTAAAACAGCTGACAATTGACGCTAGGAGACTTGGTGCAGATATCATTTTGGGTTGCGACGCAAATGCGCACCATGAAATATGGGGCAGCTCAAACACGAATGAACGTGGTGAGTTACTTTTCGATTTTATTTTTAGTAATAATCTTTTTATATGTAATGACGGTAATAGGCCGACTTTTGTTACCAAAAACAGGCAGGAGGTTTTAGACATTACCGTGACTACTGCCAAAATTCATGGGTCTATAAGAAAATGGAAAGTGTCCACTAGACACTCTTTTTCAGACCATATGATTTTAGAATTTTCTATAAACTTAAAGAAATCAAGTACCCCCAGTTTAGAAACTTTCAGAAATGTCAGGAATACAAACTGGACAAAGTACAAATCATCTATAAATGAGCTGCTGACAAACTCTACTCTTTATCCGCCAGAGAATATAAATGATCTGGACGAGCAGGTAGGAGATCTTACCTCAATACTTAATGAAGCTTTTAACCTTGCCTGTCCTTCAACTCGACCTAGTAGGAAGAGTAACCCACCCTGGTGGAATAGAAACTTAGGTCAATTGAGGAAAGAATGCAGGAGACTTTTTAATAGGGCAAAGCTAAATAGAAATGAGAGTGACTGGTCTGAATATAAGATCTCTCTGCAGAATTATAAGAAAGAACTACGTAAGTCTAAGAGGATTAGTTGGCAATCATTTTGTCAAGAGATTAGTAGGGACTCTGAAACCTCTAGACTACGCAAAATCCTATCTAAAAATCCTTCTGTTCCTGAGTTGCTAAGAAAACCGGATGAGACTTGGTCAAATAACAGTAGGGAGTCACTAGATTTATTACTAGATACCCACTTTCCAGGATCCTTTGCTTCGACGGAATCCTCAGAATGTTTAAACTACGCACCGGTAAACTCTATCAAGTTAAACCTACAAACTCTAAAATGGGCCATTTTTAGCTTTAAGCCATATAAATCACCAGGACCGGATGGTATTCATCCTATTGAGCTGCAAAACTCTTGGGATCAAATACAAAACTGGCTTCTATTCCAACTCAATGGAGAAAGGTTAGAGTTGTTTTTATTCCTAAGGCGGGTAAAACCTCTCATAGTAACCCTAATGAACTCCGTCCAATTAGTCTTTCATCTTTCATGCTGAAAGCTTTAGAAAGAATTATAGACTTTGAAATAAGGCGCGTTATAGATCCCAATCTTTGGTCACCGTCACAACACGCCTACACTAAGGGTAAATCCACAGAGACAGCACTCCATGCCCTCACCTGTACTATTGAAAAAACTCTTAAAGTAAAAGAATTTTGTATAGTGGCTTTCGTAGATATTGAAGGAGCTTTTAACAATATTCTTCCCAATGCAATAGCTAACGCACTCTCGCGTCTGGGTGTTGAGGATGCGCTCATCAGCTTTATCGGTCAGCTACTAACTGGCAGAATTATTGAAGCACAAATGGGTGTATCAGCAACACACAGACGGGTAAATAGAGGTACCCCCCAAGGGGGCGTACTCTCTCCCCTCCTCTGGAATATAGCGGTGAATGAACTGTTACAAAAACTGGGGAGAGCGGGATGCGGGACAGTTGCATATGCGGATGACATTGCACTAACAGTTACTGGAAAATATGCTATTAGTTTAAGGGATATTTTGCAGTATGGCCTGAATATCCTTAACAATTGGACACTGACATGTGGTCTCGGGGTTAACCCCAGAAAAACGGAAATCGTAGTATTTACCAGAAAACATAGGGTTCCAAATCTTTCTCCACTCTATATTAAAGGTTCTGCGATACAATATATTGAGAAAGCAAAATTTTTAGGCATTGTTTTCGATAGGAAACTGAGCTGGAAAGAAAATGTTTTGGAGCGGGCTAGGAAAGCAAACATTGCTTTGCTCCTTTGTCAAAAAGCTATTGGTAAAAGGTGGGGTTTGCAACCACGTATCGCTCAATGGCTATACACTGCTGTCATTAGACCAATACTTCTGTATGGCATTGCCATATGGTGGACAGCTCTTGATAAATCTTCGTACTGTACGGTACTGAACAGGGTTCAGCGCAGGGCTGAACTCTGTATAAGTGGTGCTCTGTGTACAACACCATCTATAGCATTAGATCTAATGCTCCATTTAATGCCACTTGACATCATCAGTAAGCAGTTGGCAGCATCATCTGCCCTAAGACTTAAGGCTACTTCACAATTGAAGGCTAGTGACTATGGGCACGGCTCGATTCTAAATATTTTCAGTTCTACTCCAAATAACATTGACTACACCTCTCCGATTCTCGACTTTGATAGAAAATTTATTGTTAGATTCCCATCCAGGGAAGCTTGGTTGTCAGGAGGTCCCTCCCTGGGTGAGGGTCTGCAAATTTTTACTGATGGTTCAAAGATTGGGAGCGGCGTAGGCAGTGGAGTTTTCTCAGAGGGGCTGAATATATCCTCCTGCTATAGGCTTCCGGATCACTGTAGTGTTTTTCAGGCAGAAGTAATTGCCATTAAGGAAGCTTTAGCTTGTCTAGAAGTAGGTAATATACTTGAAAGGAATATATGTATACTATCGGATAGTCAAACTGCTTTAAAGTCCTTGAGTTCTGTCCAATTCACATCTAGGACGGTCCTTGACTGCTACACATCTCTAAATGAGATGTCGACGCAGTTCAATATTCCTCTAATCTGGGTTCCCGGTCATAGGGATATTTACGGCAATTGTAAAGCAGACGAGCTAGCCAGACGTGGTGCTTCAGGGAACCACTCGGAACACCTAAACAATCTGGGCATATCGTTGACTTCATGCAAATTGATTTTGAGTTCTTCCTGTGCCGAACTTTTTAACAAAAGATGGGAAGACTCTGCGATAT